ATATAGCAATCCACTAGAAAGTATATCTACAAAAGAAATTAAATCAGCACCTCCTAGTGATATTTGTCCTTTTATGTTCACTGCAGCATTATTCACAACAATCAAAGTATGAAAGCAACCTGAGTGTTCATCATTGGATAAACAGATACAGGCAATGTGCTATTTACGCACAATGAAATACTATTCAGCTTTTAAAAAGGAAGAAATCCTGTCAGATGACAATATGGATAAGCCTGGAGGACATTATGCTAGTGAAATAAGCATAATAAAGAGCCATACCATATGATCTCACTTATATGTGGAAACTAATTGTGTTTACTGAAGACTGGGGAGTAGAGGCATTATGGTGATCTTGATCAAGGAAACAAAACTTCAGTTAGGAAGAATCATTTCAAGAGATCTGTTGCACATCCTGATCAGTAAAATTAATAATAATATATTGCACATTTGGAATTTGCTAAAGATATATTTTAACTGTTCTCATCATAAAAAAAATGATAGTGAGTTAAATAATGATTTAGTCATCCCACACTGTATATACATTCATCAAAACATCATGGTGAGGCTGGGGCTGGGGCTCAGGGGTACAGCGCTTGCCTGGCATGTGTGAAACACTGGGTTCAATTCTTAGCACCACATATAAATACATAAAATAAAGGTCTATCAACAACTAAATATATAAAAGACATCATATATATGTACAATTATTTCTCATCAATTTTAAAAAAGAAAAACCAATTCTAACTACTACACAAATTACTTTAGTTTTTTTTTCAAATTAATATTAAAGTTATACAAATTTCTTACCTGCTTGAAATTTGTAACTGCTTTAATAACAGGAGAAGCTGTTACCAGGAGAATATCTTCTGATGGAAAGTTAATCGCCAACTTATTTTTGGAAAAAGAGAAACATGATAAATAACTTTAGGTCTTGCTATAAAAATGATGTATGTGTGTGTGTGGGGGGGTGGGATAATACAGTTTTAATAATGTTATTAACTAGTGAAATTAAAAACTGAATTATTCCTCATCTAAAGGTTTTTGTTATTCTGGGTCCTGTTCATATTTATAGGGCAGTGAATAAGGAATGTTAAACTCTTATATTGATAAAATGAGTATCATTTACATTAAACATTAACAAAGAATTCCTGAGCAAGAAAATATAAAGAAGTATCCTTTAAACTATTTTGTATACCAGTTTAAAGCTATATAGATGACAATAAACCTGACTAACAGTAAAATTAACTCCCATTTATTTTAAAATATTTTCATTCATCTTCTATGGGAAAAAATTGAACTGTCAATATTACTTAGCATCTTTCCTAAGTGCTTTGGAGCTTCTATTTCCTCATTTTGACCAGTTCATATTCTGAGAAGACACAGTTATTTTAATATTAGCTTTAACAAAATTTAGACTTAACTTGCTATTGTTCAATTATTTTCCTTTAGCTACAAGCTCTTTTCCTCACTTTGAACTTAAACCATTTATATGTCAAAATCTATTTCCTCAACTCCACCAATCTATATAATCCTTAAA